TCATATTCCCCAAGTGTTGGGATTACAGAAGCGAGCCACCGCGCTGGGCCAAAGATGCAGTTCATTTATGATCTTAGGAATCCAATTAGTAAGGAAGGGGGTGATCGCAATTTTGGGGGGGCAACTGGACAAGGTGGCGGAACGCCGAGGTCGGGGAAGAAGTGTAGCTGTCCCCCAAAGCTCAGCACACTGCCCAGAGCCTCCGGTATTTGGAGGCTCAGTATCTTTTACTCGCAGGTCTTTGGTGGAGCCGGAGGCTGGGCGAAGGCGGGCCAGTGGGTTTAACCCTTTACTTCTTGGGATGGGACTCTGAGGACGGCTAGCCAGTTACTTCTTTATTCCTTAGACAGGGAAATGGACCAGGTCTCCCTCACCCAGGCCTAAAATAGGGTCCGAATCCTTTCACAAAGACATATCCTCTTTTTTGCAAATTTTCTAGAAAGTCTGGAATCCAGATATCCACCCTCCGGGTCCTTAAAAGCTGCCCCTGACTCCGAGGCCTTCTGGGGCTGGCATCCTGCTTTCTGGGAGTCTCTCTAAAGTCCTGTTCCTTTTCTCAATATGGAAGCAGGCTAACGAGGAAAGGTGAGGCACACCTGGAATTAGAACGCGGGTCTAACCCAAGAAGGGTGGGCGGAGTAATCAAGCCGGTCTTCGGCACTTTCACCATGGCCCTTTTAAGGGATCCTTGGGAGCCGAGGGAAACCCACCCCACCCCACCCCACCAGGCTGCTGGAGTCCTGGGACCCACCCGGGTCTGCTGCCCAAATCCTTCCTAGCTAAGGGGAGGGGAGGGTTGTCCTGGCGGGGTGGGGTGGAAACGGGGGCTTGGGGGGGATTGTGACATAAGATCGCTGTGGTGACAAGGAGCAGATCTGAACCCGATCCTAATAAAGGTAGCGTAAATAAAGATGTCATAAAGGAAGAGGTGGGGCGCGTGCTTGTCAGGGACGCCAGCCTCTAGGGGCTGCCAGAATGGCTCCCGCTCAATGTGGGGCGCCAGCGCTTGTCCTGTCCCGGCTGCATCTCTGGGCCCCATGGCCCCTCCTCACGTGGCAACTATTGTGGCTACTAGTCCAGGAGGCTCAGCCTCTGGAGTGGGTCAAGGACCCGCTCCAGCTGACCTGTAACCCCCTGGGGCCTACTTAGCCCTGGTCTTCCTGCTCCAGTGTCCCATAGGAATCTCCCTATGTGCTTACTTCCCTGGCAGGCCCTGGGGGCTTTGATTACCTGGGGTTCTCTGCTTCCTCCCAGAGGTCAGCCCTGCCCCAGGAATCGACTGAGAATTTGGTTCCATTCCTGGACATGGATTCTGCTGGAGAGCTGTCCCCAGGGCCAGAGCCCTTCTGGTCTGATCTGAATGACGAGCTGACTCGGCAAGAAAGGCTCCCAGAGGTGGGTCCAATGCTGGACTGGGATCAGAACCAGACCCGAGTTCAGCCTCCTCGCCTCAAAAGGAAGATTCAGACTACAGATCTAGATCAGGCTGCAGATCATCAGGCAGACGAAATACACCTCCAGACAGTAAGAATTCAAAAGCTACCAACTTTCTAGTTTCTCTCAAGAACCTGAAGAAAGATCTAGCTCGGCACTGGAGGCTTGCTAAGCTTGAGGGAATTCCACGTTGACACTGGCTCAATTCCATCTAGAACCCGAAACTCAATCCAGAGACCCTTGAAGAGATCCAGTCCTCTTCCCTACAGCAAGAAGCCCCAGCCCAGTTTCCACAGCTCCCTGAGGAGTAGAACCTTCTTCAACCCAGCAGAAGGCTCCGGCTCTGCCTTCACAGTCCCTTGAGGGGCTCCACTCTTCTTCAACAGAGCAGGAGGCCCCTGTGCAGCAGTTACCTGCCTCTGAAGCGATCGTAGCTCACCTATCGATACAGCACAAGGTAGATGTTCCCTTTAAAAGTTAATGGGGAGCTCAGCACTCACACTGGCCCAATGTCACAGTCAAGCCCGTGGATGTGGAGCTTACAGGAACTCCAGAGCCAGGTAAGGAACTTACATCAAGCCAGGAACAGGCCACAGCTCAGCCTCCAGAGCACCCCGAGGAGGTGAACTCTTCCTCAACCCAAATTGAGGCCCCAGCTCAGACACCAGAGCACCCTGAGAAGAGGAAACCTTCTGCATCCCAGCAAGAGACCTCAGCTGAGCCTCCAGGGCCTCCAGTGGAGGCTGAACATTCCCCCAGTGAGCAGGAGCAGCCCGCTGAGCCTTTTGAGGCTTCTGGGAAGCTTGAACCTTCTCAGACCCAGGAGAAGACCGCAGTTCAGCCTCCCAAAGAGATGGAAGCCTCTGCAATCCAAAGGCAGACACAAAATGAGACTCCAGGTTCTCTCACGGAGACTGAACCTTCTCCAGTGAGCAGGAGCAGCCAGCTCAGCCTTCCGAGTTTCCTGCGGGGCTGAACCTTCTCTGACCCAGCAGGAGGCCCCAGCTCAGCCTCCAGAGTCCTCTACGGAAAGTCTAGCTCAAGCCCCACCGAATCATGAGCTGACAGTTCAACCTCCAGAGGAGGATCAAGCTGATGACAACTTGCCGAACATTACAATTCAACCTACAGATGTGGAGATTACCATAACTTCAGAGCCTGCCAAGGAGACAGAATCGTTCCAAGCCCAGCAGGAGGCCCCGACTCAGGATCTAGAGGAGGTGGAACCTTTGCAAACCAACAGGAGGCCCCAACTGAACCTCCAGGTCCTCCTATGGAGCCTGAAGTTTCCCCCAGTGAGCAGGAGCAGCCAGCTCAGCCTTCTGAAACTTCTGGGGAGCTTGAAACTTCTCAGACTGAGGAGAAGACCCCAGCTCAGCCTCCCAAAGAAATGGAACCTTCTGCAATCCAAGAGGAGACCCCAACAGACCCTCCTGGTCCTCCTATAGAGCCTGAACCTTCCCCAAATGAGCAGGAGCAGCCAGCTAAGTCTTCTGAATCTTCTGGGGAGCTTGAACCTTCTCAGACCCAGGAGGAGACCCAAGCTCAGCCTCCCAAAGAGATGGAGCTTTCTGCAATCCAAGAGGAGACCCCAACGGAGCCTCCAGGTCCTCCTACGGAGCCTGAACTTTCCCCAGTGAGCAGGAGCAGCCAGCTAAGTCTTCTGAATCTTCTGGGGAGCTTGAACCTTCTCAGGCCCAGGAGGAGACCCCAGCTCAGCCTCCCAAAGTGATGGAACATTCTACAATCCAAGAGGAGACCTGAACTGAGCCTCAGGGTCCTCCCGTGGAGTTTGAACCTTCTCCAGTGAACAGGAGCAGCCAGCTCAGCCTTCTGAGTTTCCTGCGGGGGGCTGAACCTTCTCTGATCCAGCAGGAGGCCCCAGCCCAGCCTCCAGAGTCTACGGAAAGTCTAGCTCTAGCTCCACGAATCATGAGCTGACAGTTCAACCTCCAGATGAGGATCAAGCTCATTATAACTTGCCCAACATTACAATTAAACATACAGATATGGAGATTACCATAACTTCAGAGCCTACCAAGGAGATCGGATCTTCCCAAGTCCAGCAGGAGGCCCCGACTCAGCCTCTAGTGGAGGTGGAACCTTCTGCAACCCAACAGAAGGTCCCAAATGAACCTCCAGGTCCTCCTACGGAGCCTCAACTTTCCCCCTGTAAGCAGGAGCAGCCAGCTCAGCCTTCTATATGTTCTGGGGAGCTTGAACCTTCTCAAACCCAGGAGGAGACACCAGCTCAGCCTCCGAATGAGAATCAACCTTCTGCAATCCAAGAGGAGACCCCAACTGAGCCTCCATGTCCTCCTATGGAGCCTGAACCTTCCCAGAGTGAGCAGGAGCAGCCAGCTCAGCCTTCTGAGTTTACTGCAGGGCTGAACCTTCTCTGACCCAGCAGGAGGCCCAAGCTCAGCCTCCAGAGTCCTCTACGGAAAGTCTAGCTCTAGCTCTACCGAATCATGAGCTGACAGTTCAACCTCCAGATGAGGATCAAGCTCATTATAACTTGCCCAACATTACAATCCAACCTGCAGATGTGGAGATTACCATAACTTCAGAGCCTGCCAAGGAGACAGAATCTTCCCAAGCCCAGCAGGAGGCCCCAACTCAGCCTCTAGAGGAGGTGGAACCTTCTGTAACCCAACAGGGGGCCCCAACGGAGCCTCCCCCCTTACCTATGGAGATTCAACTTTCCCCCAGTGAGCAGGAGCAGCCAGCTCAGCCTTCTTTTTTTTTTTTTTTAATGATAAATTCTTATTTATTGTAAGACATTCATTTGAGAAATAGAGATGTAATTGTTTGTTAGATAAACTTATATGGCGCATGATTAGTTCCACTAATTTGTATTTCCGCATTATGCTTTCTGTTAATTCCAGAGCATTATATTCATGCCGCAGTGGTAGGAAGTGCTGATCTTTAAAAAAAAAAAAAAAAAAAAAAAAAAAAAAATCCATCCTCTTAATAAAGCAGTGTAACATCAGGAAGATTTAGTTGGGGTCATTGTCTACCATTTGAGTATGTGATACTCGAATGTTAAGAAATCACATCTAAGTCTAGGAAATTTAGACCAATTATTTTTGATATACAAAACTTACATATATAAATCCAGTAGTTGTACCTGGCTTTCAGCTATTTTTGTGTTGACATTTTCCATCTTTTTTTTTTTGAGACGGAGTTTCGCTCTTGTTACCCAGGCTGGAGTGCAATGGCACGATCTCAGCTCACCACAACCTCCGCCTCCTGGGTTCAGGCAATTCTCCTGCCTCAGCCTCCTAAGTAGCTGGGATTACAGGCACGCGCCACCACGCCCAGCTAGTTTTTTGTATTTTTTTTTTAGTAGAGACGGGGTTTCACCATGTTGACCAGGATGGTCTCGATCTCTCGACCTCGTGATCCACCTGCCTCGGCCTCCCAAAGTGCTGGGATTACAAGCTTGAGCCACCGCGCCCGGCCTGACATTTTCCATCTTTTATGGTTTGTCCCAAGCACAAAATCCATGAGATATCAGGTAATGATGTAATATAGTAGTTGCACAGTTTGCTTTTCCATACTGTTCAGGAATCCACGGATTTATCTGAAGATTCTTTTTTCTCTCCTGTAGTATCACTAAGTATTTCATCAGATATCTTAGCTGTAGTAGGTGCAGTCTGGGGAGTCACAGTGTGTCCAAACCCTTGGTAGTGACCCATGGGTGAAGGTGGCATAGAAGAAGCAATGGAAATTGCATCTTGTGATGACGATGATAATAAGTTTGTATGTTCATTTTGATCTTGATCCTCGGGAAACATTTTTTTCCTGGGATGTTCCCTGACTGTCTGTCCAACATGCCTTACTTGCTCAGTAATATCATCTGTAATATCTGAGACATCCCACATGGCAAGAAAGGAATCAAAACGTGAACCCTCTTCTGCTTCTTGGACATATGGTTTATATGAGAATGTGTAATGCTGAGCAATGGCAGCAAGGAACATCTCAATATAGATGATAAAGTCCTGGAGTCCTGTGGCCACAGCTTCTATGGTTTGCCATTCCCACGTATGCTTTTCAGAAATAACGCCAACTTTTACCAACAAAGCAATAACTACTGCTTGCCAAAAAGAAACGAAAACCACCAGCTTTACACAAAGAAATTTGCCAACAGGTTGGATTGGGCTCAGTTCTTCCTTTAGTACTTTATAAAATAGCAGGAGACAATACATGCAAACACCTGTGACATGTTGTTTAGTATAACTAAGTGAGTCCAAGCATTTGAAAAGCTAAAGTTCCCTTCGTCATATATACCAAGCAGCTCACTGATTAAAGCAACAATGGTGGTGAAAGGCCTGACAACTGTGTACTGCAATATGCCTAGTTTGCACCTAAACAGCAATACTTCTCCCATAGCCCATGATGGACAGCAACATAAAGGAGGGAAATGTTTCTGCTGATCTTTGGCTTCAAGGATTAATACCAGATTTGGATACCGATTCGTTAGATAATTGGTAAGGAATCCCATAAAGTTGTAAATTACATAAGCTTCCTAGCATTCTCTGCAGGTATCCACATATATTGCAATGCTGGGATATTTCAACACTATCCAACTATCTAAACGGTAAATGGGTACCATCCAAAGAATCCTCATTATTGGTTTTTGTAGTTCAGGTTGTGTATAGTGCAGTAAGTGTTGCAATATCACCCACAGCGACATAGGTATAGTCAACAGCAAAAAGATCCCAGCAATAAACCAAGCCTTGGTGTGTATTCCAACCTCCAGTTTCTGTAATTCGCAGACACACAGGGGAACCGCCCCCACTATGGACACCAGGTAGAGGACCACTGCTGAAGGTCGAGTCCACTGTCTCCAGTTCCTCCAGGGACAAGTGCAAGGCATGGTTTTGCACGAATCAGATCTGGTTAGCAAGGGAAAAAAGCTTGAAGAGATTGTAATGGGGAGCCCTGTTCTCTGGCTGTTTTGTCAACTCGCATACTACGGAGAAAAAGCTGTCAGGCGACTTTACTAACAGCTCGAGCCGCCTCCTGGACCAGCGCTGTGTCTTCTGCTGCTGCTGCTCCTGCAAATGTGGCCATTCAGGGTGCTATCGGGGAGCAGTGCGGGCAACATCCTTTCTTCCCCATCCCTTATCTACTCGGTTCTACTGCGGTGGAATCCCAGGCAGAGCCGCTGCCCTCACCTGGGGATCGCCCAGAGCTCTGCGTCTACCATGTCTTCCAGAAGAGCAGCGCCGACCAGGAACCGGCCTCTAGGGACCCAGCGCACTCCAGTTCTGTCTTGCAGCTGCTGTCTAGTCGCTCTTTTCCTTGGGGATCGAGCTCCTTACCTCCCGCACTGGCAGGTGTCTCTTCACGTGATTCTGCTAGTAAGTAAAGTCCTAGGACCTCCTCACTCACTCGGATGGGACATCCCCTACTCAGCTCAGCCTTCTAAATCTTCTGAGAAGCTTGAACCTTCTCAGACCCAGGAGGAGACCCCAGCTCAGCCTGCCAAAGAGATGGAACATTCTGCAATCCAAGAGCTGACCCCAACTGAGCCTTCAGGTCCTCCAGTGGAGGCTGAAGGTTCCCCCAGTGAGCAGGAGCAGCCAGCTTTGCCTTCTGAGTTTCTTGTGTGGCCTGAACCTTCTCTGATCCAACAGGAGGCCCCAGCTGAGCCTCCAGAGTCCTCTATGGAATGTCTAGCTCAAGCTCCACAAATCATGAGCTGACAGTTCAACCTCCAGATGAGGATCAAGCTCATTATAACTTCCTGAACATTACAATTAAACCTGCAGATGTGCAGATTACCATAACTTCAGAGCCTACCAAGGAGAAAGAATCTTCCCAAGCCCAGCAGGAGTCTCGGATTCAGCTCTAGGGGAGGTGGAACATTCTGCATACCAACAGGAGGCCCCAGTGGAATATCCAGGACTACCTATGGAGCCTGAACTTTCCCCCAGTGAGCAGGAGCAGAGAGCTCATCCTTCTAAAACTTCTGGGGAGCTTGAACCTTCTGAGACCCAGGAAAAGACCCCAGGTCATCCTCCCAAAGAAATGGAACCTTCTGCAATCCAAGAAGAGACCCCAGTGGAGCCTCCCAGTCCTCCTGTGGAGCCTGAACCTTCCCCCAGTGAGCAGGAGCAGCCAGCTCAGTCTTCTGAATCTCCAGGGGAGCTTCAGCCTTCTCAGACACAAGACGAGACCCGAGCTAAGACTGCCAAAAAGATAGAATGTTCTGCAATTTAAGAGCTGACCCCGGCCAGGCGCGGTGGCTCAAGCCTGTAATCCCAGCACTTTGGGAGGCCGAGGCGGGTGGATCACGAGGTCAAGAGATCGAGACCATCCTGGTCAACATGGTGAAACCCCATCTCTACTAAAAATACAAAAATAAGCTGGGCATGGTGGTGCACGCCTGTAGTCCCAGCTACTCGGGAGGCTGAGACAGGAGAATTGCTTGAGCCCAGGAGACGGAGGTTGCAGTGAGCCGAGATCGCGCCATTGCACTCCAGCCTGGATAACAAGAGTGAAACTCTGTCTCAAAAAAAAAAAAAAAAAAAAAAAGAGCTGACCCCCAACTGAGCTTTGAGGTCCTCCAGTGGAGGGTGAAGGTTCCCCCAGTCAGCAGAAGCAGCCAGCTCAGCCTTCTGAGTTTACTGCGGGGGCTGAACCATCTCTAACCCAGCAGGAGGACCCTGCTCAGCCTCCAGAGTCTTCTATGGAAAGTCTAGCTCAAGGTCCATGAATCATAAGCTGACAATTCAACCTCCAGATGAGGATCACGCTCATTATAACTTGCTGAACATTAAAATTAAACCTAAAGGTGTGGAGATTACCATAACTTCAGAGCCTACCAAGGAGACAGAAACATCCTAAGCACAGCAGGAGGCCCTGAATCAGCATCTACAGGAGGTGGAACCTTCTGCAACCAAACAGAAGGCCCCAACTCAACCTCCATGTCCTTCTGTGGAGCCAGAACTTTCCCCAGTGAGCAGGAGGAGCCAGCTCAGCCCTTTGTGTCTTCTGGGAAGCTTGAACCTTCTCAGACCCAGGAAGAGACTCCAGCTCAGCCTCCCAAAGAAATGGAACCTTCTGCAATACAAGAGGAGACTGAAACGGAACTGAACTTTCCCCCAGTGAGCAGCATCAGCCAGCTCAGACTTCTGAAACTTCTGGGAACCTAGAACCTTCTCAGACTTAGGAGGAGACCCCAGCTCAGCCTCCCAAGGAGATGGAACATTCTGCAATCCAAGAGGCTCCCCAAATAGCTTCGAGGTCCTCCTATGGAGGCTGAACATTCCCCCAGTGAGCAGGAGCAGCCAGCTCAGCCTCCAGAGTCCTCTATGGAAAGTCTAGCTCAAGCTCCACCGAATCATGAGCTGACAGTTCAACCTCCAGATGAAGATCAAGCTTATTATAACTTGCCCAACATTACAATTCAACCTACAGATGTGGAGATTACCATAACTTCAGAGCCTGCCAAGGAGACAGCATCTTCCCAAGCCCAGCAGGAGGCCCTGACTCAGCCTCTAGTGGAGGTGGAACCTTCTGTAACCCAACAGGAGGCACCAACGGAACCTCCAAGTCTACCTATGGAGACTCAACTTTCCCCCAGTGAGCAGGAGCAGCCAGCTCAGCCTTCTAAATCTTCTGGGGAGCTTGAAGCTTCTCAGACCCAGGAGGAGACCGTAGCTCAGCCTCCCAAAGACGGAACCTTCTGCAATCCAAGAGGGACCCCAATTGAGCCTCAAGGTCCTCCTATGGAGCCTGAACCTTCTACCAGTGAGCGGGAGAAGCCAGCTCAGACTTCGGAGTTTCCTGCAGGGGCTGAACCTTCTCTGACCCAGCAGGAGGCCCAGCTCGGCCTCCAGAGTCCTCTATGGAAAGTCTAGCTCAAGCTCAATGAATCGTAAGCTGACAGTTCAACCTCCAGATGAGGATCAAGCTCATTATAACTTCCTGAACATTACAATTAAACCTGCAGATGTGGAGATTACCATAACTTCAGAGCCTACCAAGGAGACAGAATCGTCCCAAGCCCAACAGGAGGCCCCGACTCAGCATCTACAGGAGGTGGAACCTTCTGCAACCAAACAGGAGGCCCCAACTGAACCTCCATGTCCTTCTGTGGAGCCAGAACTTTCCCCAGTGAGCAGGAGCAGCCAGCTCAGCCTTTTATTCTTCTGGGGAGCTTGAATCTTCTCAGACCGAGGAGGAGACTCCAGCTCAGCCTCCAGAGTCCTCGATGGAAAGACTAGCTCAAGCTCCACCAAATCATGAGCTGACAGTTCAACCTCCAGATGAGGATCAAACTCATGATAACTTGCCTAATAATATAATTAAATCTGCAGATGTGGAGATTACCATAACTTCAGAGTCTGCCAAGGAGATGGAATCTTCCCAAGCCCAGCAGGAGGCCCCGACTCAGCCTCTAGAGGAGGTGGGACCTTCTGCAACCCAACAAGAGGCCCCAACTTAATATCCAAGTCTACCTATGGAGCCTGAACTTTCCCCAGTGAGCAGGAGCAGCCAGCTCAGCCTTCTGAGTTTCCTGTGGGGGCTGAACCTTCTCTTACCCAGCAGGAGGCCCCAGCAGAGCCTCCTAGCTCAAGCGCCATGAATCATAGGCTGGCAGTTCAACCTCAAGATGAGGATCAAGCTCATTATAACTTGTCCAACATAACCTACAGATGTGGAGTTTACCATGACTTCAGAAACTACTAAGGGGGCTGAAGCTTCCCAAGCCCAGCAGGAGGCTCCGACTCAGCCTCTAGAGGAGGGAGAACAACAAGATAGGAGGCCCCAACTGAACCTCCATGTCCTTCTATGGAGCCTGAACCTTCCCCAGTGAGCAGCAGCAGCCAGCTCAGCCTTCTGAGTTTCCTGCAGGGGCTGAACCTTCTCTGAGCCAGCAGGAGTCCCCAGCTCAGCCTCCAGAGTCCTCTATGGAAAGTCTGGCTCTAGCTCCACCGAATCATGGGCTGACAGTTCAACCTACAGATGGGGGTCAAGCTCATTATAACTTGCCCAACATTACAATTCAACCTACAGATGTGGAGATTACCATAACTTCAGAGCCTACCAAGGAGACAGGATCTTCCCAAGCCCAGCAGGAGGGCCCGACTCAGCCTCTAGAGGAGGTGGGACCTTCTGCAACCCAACAGGGGGCCCCAACGGAACCTCCATGTCTACCTATGGAGACTCAACTTTCCCCCAGTGAGCAGAAGCAGCCAGATCAGCTTTCTAAATCTTCTGGGAAGCTTGAACCTTCTCAGACCCAGGAGGAGACCCCAGCGCAGCCTCCCAAAGAGATGGAACCTTCTGCAATTTAAGAGGAGACCCCAACTGAGCCTCAAGGACCTCCTGTGGAGCCTGAACCTTCCCGGAGTGAGCAGGAGCAGCCGGCTCAGCCTTCTGAGTTTCCTGCAGGGGCTGAACCTTCTCTGACCCAGCTGGAGGCCCCAGGTTAGCCTCCAGAGTCCTCTACGGAAAGTCTAGCTCAAGCTCCATGAATCATAAGCGAACAGTTCAACCTCCAGATGAGGATCAAGCTCATAATAACTTGCCATATTATTGGAATTAAACCTGCAGATCTGGAGATTACCATAACTTTAGAGCTCACCAAGGGGACAGAATCGTCCCAAGCCCAGCAGGAGGCCCTGACTCACAATCTAGAGGAGGTGGAACCTTCTGCATCCAAACAGGAGGCCCCAATGTACCTCCATGTCCTTCTATGGAGCCTGAACTTTCCCCAGTGAGCAGGAGCAGCCAGCTGAGCCTTTTGAGTCTTCCACGAAGCTTGAACCTTCTCAGACCCAGGAGGAGACCCCAGCACAGCTTGCCAAAGAGATGGAACCTTCTGCAATCCAAGAGGGGACCCCAACTGAGCCTCAAGGTCCT